TAATACATTTGTATTATACTTTCCCTTCATCTACTCCTCCAAGCTTCTCCCCACCTCCTCTTCTATCCAGACCCATAGCATTTACATTTCCCACTGGAAAATATATATCTAACAAATAATAATAATATATTATTATTATTATATAATACAAAAGCAAACAAATCTGAATAGGAAAAACAATCGACCAAGAAAATGAACAAAAGAAAAAGCAGAAGAAATGCATATAAATGTAGAGACATAGCCTGTCACACATCCATGAATCCCATAAAAACAAACTGGAAGGAAAAATATATATACAAAGGACCTATATTGGAGGAGGGCCACCAACTTAACATTATGAGACAAGGAATCCCCAATGAATCTATTAACTTTATTTTCTGTTGGACATCTACTGCTTAGCATGAAGCCAAGCTTTCAGAGTAGTTTGTTTCCCCAGTGATTCTCAGATGTAGATTCTGGATTAGGGATGGGGGACATGTGTCCACTTTTCCTTTCAGTTCTATGACTCCATCCATTATAGATACACGAAGGATCTTTGAATGCCACCATAATCCCTGTGAATTCTTATGCATTCCAGGTCTGTGTGATTCTGTGATCCCTGCCCTCTGGCTCTTACACACTTTCTTCCTCCTCTTTTAGAGAGATTCTTGGTCATCAAGGAAATGGGTTTAATGGAGAATTCCCTGATAGTGCTGAGTGTTCCATGGTCTCTTACTCTTTGCTTAATTGTCTGGCTGTGGATCTCTTGATTTGTTTGTATCCGATGCAAGGGAGGCTGTTAATGATGGATAAACAAGACACTATTCTCTGATTACAGCAGAATTTCAATAGGAGTCATTTTATTGCTAAGTTCCTTTAGCATTAACATTAGTATTTTGATTTCCCCTAGGTCATAACCTAATCTAATCTCAGGTTCTTAGCCACACAAGCAGTGTTGGGTTTGGATTTCATCTTATGGTTTGGGTCTAACTCAGAAAAGATACAGACTAGTTAATCCTATAGATCTTGTGCCACTATTGCACTAGTGCATCTGTAAGAAGATCACAATTTGATTTTGAGGAGTGTATAGATAGGTTGGTGATTACCTTTCTCCTTTGGTAATATATAGAGTATCTTTAATGACCATGAACACTAGTTCCTATGAATGAAAGTTTTAAGTAGGAACCTGCTCAATATCCCCATGTTTAAGAAACTCTATAGGCATTGTCTTCATAAATGGGGACTTGGTGTTTGTTTGTGGAGAGATACCAATAGCCCTGACAATAGCCATTGCCAGTAGCAAAAGCTTTACTTGGTTCCAAGGGTTTCCAGTTGGGTCTCTGTCTCCTTTGCTATTTGGTGACTTCATTTAGATCATCTTCATATATGTACATGTTTTAGGAGCCTTCTATGGTACTAGGTTTCCATACTACCACTCCAATGGCCCTTAATTTTACCCTCTAACCAAACAAGTGAAAGACATGCATGGCAAAATCTTGAAAATACTGAAGAAAATATCAGATGTAAAGATCTCCCACGGGCATGGATCAGTAGACTTAAAATAATAAAATTGGCCAGCCTATCAAGCCTATCCAAACTAAACTAAAGGGTAAATGCAATTCTTGTCAATATTAAAGTTCATTTTCTTCCGCAGAATTTGAAAGGGGAATAATTTTAGTTTCATATGGAAACAAAAACCCAGGGTAGCTAAAACACTTCTGAATGATGAAAGAGATGCTTGATCCCTAGTCTCAAATTGTATTATAGAACTACAGTTAAAAACATAGAATTTCATAAAAATAGATATGTTGATCAATGTAATTGAATTGAAGACTTAGATATACTTCCACACACTTATAAACACACAAATTTTAATAAAGAAGCAATAATAAGGGTGCTGGAAAGAAGATAGCAACTTCAACAAATGGTGCTGGTCAAATTGGATGGCTGCATGTAGAAGAACCCAAATATATCCATCCAAATGTAATAAAGGTCACAAAATAAAGCTAGATACACTGAATCCTATTGAAGAGAATGCAGGAGATGGCTGTGGGCTCATTGGCACAAGAAAAAAAATATTCAACTTTTGTAACAGAACATATATAGCACAGATAAAAAGAGAAACACTAGGCAGCCTACTTCTGCCACATTTTACTCAAAATGTGTCATTTGTCTCATGTCTTTCTTTGATGAGACTGATACTCATGTCTGTTTAATAGCAACAGTAATAAACTTTATGTTGCCTTAAAATAAGCTAATGCTGACAGAGTCCACAGTGAAGGCATTTCTACATGCTAATAGTAAAGTTGACAACAGCTAATACAGCAAAATCGACTTTTAACTAAATAATGAGATGCACAGTATATTAATACTAAATAATGTTCTTTTTAATATCAATGTACTCCTAATTATGTTATTGTTGTATGTGTTGGCTACTGAGTTACTTTATTGGTTTGCTTTTTCTCCTTCCTTCCTTTTCTTTTTTCTTTCTTCTTTCTTTTTCTTTTTTCTTTTTTCTTTTTTCGTTTTTTTTTTTTTTTTTTTTTTTATGATCTTATGAAGTGAATCTTAGCTTTAGAGTGAACTTAGACTATTTCATGCTTTCAAAATGAAAAAAAAAAATAGCCCTTGTAGCTCTTTCTGTTTCTTCTGGCTGTGTGTTGCGCCACTTATAAACTCAGGTTTTAATAAATCTCAGCTTTGGGATTTATTCTATTTGCAAATATTTGTGCTATCAATGTTAAGATTTATGTCTTTCTGTGTCAGCCTCAAATAATATTCAACTAAATGATGTAATAATATGAGAAATATTGTAGGTGAACTAAAACTATGGGTACTATAGATTTAATGAAATTTAACTCTGATTTGTGCTAGAATTTAATCTATCTCAGTGAGCTTTCTGGACAATAGATTTTATGAACAGATTTTACGAAGCAAGCTGAAATTATGCATAAATTGGATTTGAATTTATTGATCTTTAAGAAGAAAGCAGAAATCTCAGCAAAATTGTTTTCTTGTTCTTTTTCATTGACTTGGTCCCTGCCACATATGTACTTATATATCTATCCTATTAGTATACGTAATTTCTTACTTTTATCCACCATAAATTATGTCTCTTACTGTACAATATGTTAGATGCTTAACTATTTTTTATTGTACAACAACAAAAATTTTTGTAAAACTATATTTCCTAGGCTACTAGAACTATTTCTGTATACTCATATTAATTAAATATATAATGAAAAAGATATAACATTTTATCTACACTTAATGTCACTCCTAAATATGTTGTGCTATTTGCCAAGATAGATATTTCAGGGAACTGGGAAAATCCAGTTTTCCACAACAATCTAAAAAATAAGCATTAAAAAGGAGATAGGATGAAATGAAGACACTGTAACTCTAGAAGAAACTGGATCATGAGTGAGGCTGACTTTATACATCATTTTAAAACAAACCATTGAATTTATTAAACAGGATTACAGGTTTTAGTGAAACTAGATATGTATAATGTGTTAATTAAAATTTACTCATTTTAAAGGTTGACATATCTACATGAGTAGAATTCTCAGTTGAGTCAACAGGTACTGTAGTTTTCTTTAGTCATCTATCTATTAATATTTTATCTGTCATAATTTATTAAAAGAAATATTTTTATTGTTACTTTCTCAATATGGAAAAAAGACATTTGAATTTACTTATCATAATTGTACATATGTGAAATAGTAATGTATTTATCATGCGTCCATATAGGGAAATTTTCCTATGTAGTATTCATTGATGTGGTCACTTACTTTATGCCAATGTTAATATATTTACACAATGCCTGAATTTGTAAGAAAAACAAACTATGTAAAAGATCTTTTTGTATTATAATTTATTTTTTATTTTTATTTTACATATCAATCCCAATTTCCTCTCCCACCCTCCCTCCCTCTTTCCCTCTCTCCTGCCCTTTCATGCCCTCAACAACCCTCTCTTCCCATCCATATGTAGAGTGATACCCTCCAGGAGGGGTCATCTAAATCTGTCAAATCATTTGAAGTAGGGACTTCTCTCCTGTCTCTTGGTTAAGGGAATATCTCTCCATGAGGGATGTGCCTGCAAGGTCCGAGAGAAAGATAGAGAGAGAGAGAGAGAGAGAGAGAGAGAGAGAGACATAAAAAAGTAACCCATTATATGATTGAAGAGAAAACTGAACCTAAAGAAATGTCCAGATAACTACAAGACTTGACTCCAACTAACAATTTGAGCAACAGTGGAATGGCTACCATAAATTCCCTTCCCTGATAATGAGATCAATAACTAACTTTTCCACTATCATGGAGCCCTCACCTAATACCTGTTGGAAACAGAGGCAAACACCCACAACTAAACACTGAGCTGAACTAGAATTCAGATGCAGAAAGGGAGGACAAGACCATGCTGCAGAAATACATAGAGACAGCAGACCTGAACAATGAGGAACTATCGAGCCCCCAGACTGATAGCTGGGAATCCTGCATGGTACTGACTCAGAACCCCTGAACATGGGTCTAAGCTAGAAGGCCTGAGCAGTCTAAGGGACCTCAGACACTGGGACCTGGATGTATTCCTGGTACACAAGAGTGCCTCTATCATTTTTATGAATATATTTTTTTAAGTCATTCTCTTCTGCTTCATCTGCTTTGGGGTGTTCAGGTCTTGTTGGTGTAGAGTTACTAGATTTTGGAGAGGTCATGCTTGTCTTTCTATTGTTAGATGTTTTCTTGTATTACTGTCTTCACATTGCTTCTTCCAGTGGGTGCAGGTGGTCTCTCTCTCTCTCTCTCTCTCTCTCTCTCTCTCTCTCTCTCTCTCTGCTACTCTCCAGGTGGGCTTAGGTGGGACAGAAGTTTGATGTCTGTAACTCTGGGTCATCAAAACTCTCAAGAAGGTCTCTCCTCAGGCTTGGGCTAGGCAATGGTGACCAACGATCAGGCTCCAGCAGAGGCCCGGTGATGGAGGCAAAAAATAAATAAATAAATAAATAAATAAATAATAAAACTATGGAATGCTTCACTAATTTGTGTCTCATCCCTGTGCAGGGGCCATATTAATATTCTCTGTATTGTTTCAATTTTAGTATATGTGTGGCTAAAGTGAGCACCTTTTGAGCTTTTTTTTGTTCCGTGTTATTTCTCAATTTTTAATTAAGTGGCTCATTTTTTATCATTTCCTTTTGAGGTTTTAATATATTCTAGGTACTAATCTACTGATGGATAATCAGCAAAGCTTTTCTCTCACTCTATTATTCCCTTCCACTCATGTCACTTTCCTTTTCTATGAAGATAAACTGTAGTTTCATAAATACTGTCTATTTGCTGATGGTGTTATTTCCCATGGTACTAGAATCATACTCACAAAGACCATGAGTGTATAAGTTGAAATGTGCACCCCAAGTTTTCCTCTAGGAGTTTCAGAGTTCTCAGCCTTATGCTGAGTTCATTGCACACTTATACTTCATGTGTGTACAGGGAAAAGGGTAAAGATCTAACTTTACCTTCTTCCACATAACTATCCAATTTGACCATCATGATTGTTGTCATCTGAATTAAAAACAAATCCTATGTCGTATCTGTGCAGGTATATCTGGGTATTCTATTTTATTCCATTGATTTGGGTTTTTGTTTTTGTGTCAATACTATTTTGTAGTTTTTACTATGATTCTTTCCTATAATTTGAAATCAGGTATCATGATACTGTGCAAATTATTCTTTTAGTTCAGGATTGCTTTAACTGTTGTTGGTCTCTTGTGTCTCTGTATAAATCTTGGGACAGTGCTTCTATACCTGTGAAGAAAAGCCCTGGTAGTTTTATAGGAATCTCTCTTCATCTGTTGATTTCATTATATTGTTATTTTATATTGTCTTTCAGTTTGCTGATGTCTTCTCAGTTACTTGCTTCAGTGTCTTGAGATTTCTTCTATAGTATCTTTTGTTTCCTTGGTTAAGCTTATTTCTGTGTGTGTGTGTGTGTGTGTGTGTGTGTGTGTGTGTGTGTGTTTGTTGTGAGTGAGATTGTTTCTCTAACTTCATTTCTTTTCTTCTTTAGTGTGTTTGTCATTGGTATATTGAAAACTTAATTGCTTGTGTGTTGATTGTGTGTCCTGCTTAAAACTCAAAATGATCTGGGAAGAAATGCTCAGGGTCTCATTTCTTCCTTTTCTATTTGTACCCATTTTGTTTATTTCTTTAATGTCATTGTATTGATTATGACCCTGAGTTTTGTTTAATTTAGAGTACAGTAGAAAGTCAGGAACCTGTATGGGTTTAAGAGTATGGGGAAAATGAGGTGGTGAACAAAAATGCTAACCAAAAAGAAAGGTTTATGAAAACACATTGAAATTCACTATATCACAAATCAACATTTTTAAAGGACGAATAATAGAATGTACTGAAATTAAAGAATGAGGAATATTGTGTGTTAAAAGGTTAATAGGTGATGAAAACACAGAGTATGGGAGAGGAAGCAGTAATAAGTGCATCAAACAAAACAAAGAATATATAGAAAAGTCTTATAGAATGTGGAAGATGAACAGTTAGTAAGATAATTTCAAAGTAGAGCTTTAAAAGTGTTAGAGCAGAATTATCCAAACAGTATGGACAATGTTGCTTCCAGAAAACATTGAATATTAAATGAAAATTTCAGTGCAAGTCATAGGTTGTCACCCTATTTATTATTGGTCTTAGAGGCTTCAAAGATCTCTGGAAGAACACAGGCTTTTGTCAATGTTCTTAAATATCATAACTGTGTGGCAAGACAATATTTCAGAGGACAATATATATTTTGGCTGCCGTATGAAGAGAAATCAGTTTCAAAAACACCAAGAAACACCCTCACTTCTGGTTAACTCTCATAATGCCACAAAATATTCTGGAGACTGCTTGTGGAGAAAAGGCATCAGTGGTCTTACCCAATGATGAACACTGTATGCTAAAATATTAAGCTATGAGGAAAACCATGTTCACTAGTACTATAGTATTCAATCATATGTATTGGATTGTCCTTGGGGATCTGACAGGATATGCCCTCAGATTTAGCCACTAAGAGCACCACCTGTGCCTATCCACTGTGTTCCCTTTTAACAGAGCTCTGCCAACCTCCCATCCTCTTTCTCTCTCTCTCTCTCTCTTATTCTCTTTCACTCTGCCCATCAAACATTCTGATCTTATTATGAGGCCTGTGCTACCAGAAGGAATTTCATGAGTGTGACTATAACCATAGTCACAATTCCACAGCTGGGAAGATTATAGGCCCTAAGGTAGAGCATGCTATTGTTATTTTAAATTGTCATATTTACAAAGAGCCTTATAAATATTGATGTACAGGGGTATACATTCAAGAGTCTCTCAATCTTAATCTTTTTGCAGGGTTTGAGGTAGGGTAGGGGTGCAGCAATTCACAAGATGCACAAATCTCTTAAAAATGATGAGGATAAAAATTCAGTGCTTTGCCCTACATAAGATCTATATCACCACCCAACACTACCACCAATGCTCAGGGAATATTGTAAAAGGGAGACAGAAACAATGTTTTATTTGTTAGATATGGAGAATTACTCTAAAATGCCTCCTCAACATGAAATTGGAGTTACCTACACAAGACTGGAGAAAATTAAGTGTAGCTAAACTCAGGAATATATGCAGCAGGGCAGGTAATTTCTGAGTTCCATCCATTACTAACAACAATTGTTAGTTGATGGTTTCTGAGGAAGGAAGAATAATTCATTGTATTAAATGTGACCAAGGATAGGATTCCCGTGGTCCTGTGTGTGGCTCGTACCCATTCAGAGTTAGGCAACACCAACTGAACTTTACACACACACACACACACACACACACACACACACACACATACACAGTGAATATATATAATATGTATATGATTTAAATATGAATATATATTTTTATATATAGAGGCACAGGCATAAAGTAAGATATATTAGAAAAATGAGTCAGATTATATAAATTATCAATATACTGTATAAAACATGTTGATAAATTTTATATATTTATACATTGTGGATATATATATATATATATATATATATATATATATATGTATATTATATTGTATTGTAGACATGCATGAAATCAGCAAAAATAAAATAAATTCAGGTTAACATAAATATAATGGAAATATTGATCAATTATTTTAATTTTCTAAAGAATAATGATTGTCCTAAGTCTAATTTGGTCTATTAGATAGCAACACTGAGCATCTCCCTAGTCCCAAACTCTTGTCATAAATTCAATAGAAAAAAAATAAGTAAATGAACTTTTTCAAAATTCATCCCTGATTCTGAATCTGATTTTCAAAATTTTACTGGCTTTTTGTTGACTTATATACTCATGTACAGACTCTGTATACATTCTTACATTGGAACATTTCCACCCACATTTTTAATTTTTTCACTTATTCTTCATTGAGACCACATTCTGTTAAGACAAAACCAGACAGTTTTTCCCCAAGCACTTGAGATTTTTTTTTTTCCTGATCATAATTTCCTTATTTGCCTGGTGTTTTCCACTATTTTTTCATCTCTGGTCACTTTTTATTTTACTTAAAATTCTATGTCCAAATCAGACCTTAAATTTTCAATTTGGATATCAATTTTCAGTACTTCAAATTTACTCTACACTTACGGGAAGGTTTCTATGTACATGCATCTCAAAATTGCCTTTTAATATATAAAGTCAAACTGAAATCATATTTTAATATGGGCTTCTGTTTACTACAAATGCAAAAAACTAGAATGCCTGCATGTTAGCTGTAAAGCCTTCCCCTCTTTTGAAGACCACCAGAACTCAGTAGATTGACAAAAAGCAGCAGTCTGTTCTACTCCCTTCTGCAAAGATCCATATACTTCACTGTGTGACTCTTTATCACTTTTATTATCAATTTTATTAAGTTTTGAATATTTAAGCTTTCACACACAAACATTTCAGTTAAGCACAAAGCCCTTAATAAGAGTCTTTGAATAAGAGTTGTGCATATCACACAGTGAGATCCCCCTATAGGTGCAGGACATCCTGAATAACAGCACAGCCTTTGTCCTCTATCACCAGGCCTTGGCTAGAGGTGAGTCTGGGACCAATTCAGGTGGACTCTCCCCTACACCCTCCACTGGGAACTCCCTGGGTAGACCCCAGATCCCCATGATCCTGTGACCTATCCCCATAGAAAGAGCGCTCTTGTAGCTCTGATACACCACCAACCACCCCTACCAAGAGCCTGCCCTCCTCCTACCCTGTGCCCTATCCTGCCCACTATCCCCCACACTCTGGTTGAGCAATGGGACAGAGGATGGAGTCAACAGTCCAGACACATTCTGGGAACTTCTGGGCACTTCTGGGCACTTCTGGGAGCAGTACTGAACATAGGAGCCCTGCCTATCCACACTGAACCACCCATAATTTCTACCTTCCTGGTCTCTGACCAACACTGCTGGCCCTCTACTGGAGTTCCGGGCCCCTCCCAGAAATTCACATATCTCTGCAGGACTACTCTGACTTCCTGCCAGCAGGATCCATGACCCCCATAGGAGGGCCTCTGCTAAAGAAGCCACAGCTGGAGAGTATCAGACACCAGGCCCAGGCTATATCTGCATATAGGCACAAGTAATCCTGAATCCCAGCCTTTGTGATATTTGATCCCCATCACCAGTCTTCTGTTGGAGCATGATTGCTGACCTGTAGTGAGATAGTCCTTCTGTGGCACTGACCACACCCATTTGGGCAGAAGTGACCTGTGGAAGGAGGTCAGAGAGAGGACATGGAAAAGCTCTCTTGCTGGTGTGACTGGGACAGGAGAGCATCGGGTTGAATTTCCTGGTGTTCATCGGTCTAGGTTGTAAGCTATTTCACCCTGAATACACATCTATTCGGCCTATTTGTTTATCCTGATCCTTATTTAACCATGATATCTGGTGTCAGAAGTGGGATTAGGATTTTCAAGGGACCTGGGTTTCACCCAGGCAGCTGATGCTGCTCCCCTCTCCCACCTACCCCAACGGGCAGGGTCCCTTGTCTAACCAGGTGGACTCACCACAGCTTTGGGACATTTGCCTCTTCCTTACGGCAAAGGAGATCTTTGCCGCCAAAGTGG